GACTTTTATTTCATAAGAAATACATTTCTACTAGAGGAAATATATGGAAAAATATCTGGCCTTTCTATACCTCAGCCCCCACATGTCTAAAACAAGTATTTTGAACTATTTCAGACTGGGGACACAAATTGGGGTCAGCTGGCCAGCAATTAATTTTATTTGGCCTGCACAGTATTAGAAAAAATGGAGCTAATATCTAGAAACTGGGAGAGTTAATAATAAGCAAATCCATACTTCTGGTTTCTCTTTAATAATCAAAGACCTGGCAACGTGGTTCTGAGCAGCAACTACAGACAGGCACTCTCTTTGGAAATCGTAACAATCCCCACCTGGCTTTACCTCACTATGCCTACTCTCTGTAGGATGGTGTTTGCAACCCCTGAACTAGTTAGTCTTCTAGGTTCCCGTAGCTTTAAGATTTTGAGAGAGAACGCCTGAAATTTAAAAAGCACATGGCAACTCCGATTTCAAATGTTTTCAGATATTGCTACCTACTGCCAGTTTAACCTGCTAAACACTACAAGAACTAGATATACATTTATATTAAACAAACTGTTCATCAAAACAACTATGAACATACACTTTACCGATTATTACTGCTTATGTTAGCCCACACTTAACTGAGCACAACGTGCAAGCAGTATACCAAGTCATCCAATCATTCCACAACCATTCTGTAGGATTAGAATAACTAGTATCACCAATTTATACAAGAGGAAGCTGAGGCTCTGAGAGATTAGGTGATTACTACAAAAGTAGCAGAAAATCATGTTTTCAACGTGCTACATTTTCATTCATCATTCAATCAATTTCTATGTACCTAACATAATAAATACTTTGTATAGAATAAAGAAATCTCACACAAGATAACAGCTGTCTCTCATTCATTTATCTTCACAGTTCTCAATGGAGAAAGGAAGAGAAAAACTGCTATAATCAACATGACCTTCCAGAAGTTTCACATCTATCCTCTTCAAAGTATGACAGATTGCCCCAGGTGTACAGTAGCAAAAAAGGAGGGAGGGATGCGTAAGAACTATTGAAGAGAAAAAAGTTACGTAGCTGTTATTTCTCCCTTTACTTGTTACCCTGAAAGCACCACTGGATATGTGATATAGATGTGATATTATTCAGGCAAAGAATGAGTCACCAATAGGCATATGGTGCCTACTGGAATAGCTACTGGTAAGTAGGGTTTTCCATTGCATAAATTAGCATGATCAGATAACTGGACTGTCAAGCAACTTTTCTCACTCCCAGTAAATGATAAATTATCTTTGAAAAATATAATCCGTCCAGGGGGGCAGAGGGTGGGAAGGGATAGACTGGGGTTTCAAAATTGTAGAATAGATAAACAAGATTATACTGTATAGCACAGGGAAATATACACAAAATCTTATGGTAGCTCACAGAGAAAAAAATGTGACAATGAGTGTGTATATGTCCATGTATGACTGAAAAATTATGCCAAACACTGGAATTTGACACAACATTGTAAAATGATTATAAATCAATAAAAAAATATTTAAAAAAAAGAAAGAAAAATATAATCCGAGATTCCATAATCCCACTCAACTGGTAATCTGAAAAAATCAGCACATTACATAAATCCTATCAGAAATCTGGTTCTACCCAAGAATAGGCACTATGATATTAACTTGGGACCTGGAGGTTAAAGAAATAGGGAATAATAAAGTTTCACTAACACTACACTCCTACTCCATCATGGAAGTAAGGTACTGTGCAAGCATCAATAAGACAAAAACTCAAGTAATAGCACTGAGCAAGCACTTGAGTGGGCAAAGGACTCCAGGAATCCAGCATACTTTAGGTGGTTAGCTTAGACTCTGAGAAAGAATGGTTCTGTGGTTATAAAACCTGGCATAAAGTCAAGGTTTTAAAGCATAAACTCCATGGCAACTCCTCAAAAACGCCCTACTAGGTAATACGCAGCTCTTTAGTGGGAAAATCTACAGAACATAATTAGGGACCAACTGTTTTACACAAGTCTTGTGTAATAATTATCACAGTTATCTATACTGCTATCATATTAATCATCTCTGACTGAAGCTTAATCCAGAACGAGAAGTTAGGAAACTACTGCACATGAAAAGGCAAGTTTCGCAAGGTATTGCCAGGAAACGTCCATGGGTTATAGCAAGACGTCACCAAGTTGCAGGCAGGATCTTCCTGTGGTTTGCCTTGCCCACTTCTGGTTTCAGTTTTGAATGTGTGCTGATTCCTAAGCTCCCTACAGCCCCCTTCTCAAGTAGCACACCAAACTCTGAAGCACATATGGTAAAAATCTGTCCTAGGATAGGCCTACAGCCACCTGAAACTTAGGGGCTCCTAAGCTGACCGAGAGACTAGCATGGCAAGCAAATGGAAGGCCCAAATCAAGTGGTGGCAGAACTCAGGGCTGCCTACCCAGGCCATATGTGGGATAAGGCTGCTATTCCTGGTAACAGCATCCAGGAAGCCAAAATGGGACTCATTGTGATGTAATGCTTTTTTAAAAGGGGGGGGCACCTAGATATAAAGCAGTTGCATCCACACAGTGCATGTACATGTATATGTGCACACTTGCACACATGTGTGCCCTAAGAGAACCATTAACATGCAGAGACAAACCCACATGAGCACAGTCACGCAGACAGAAGAATATTTTTTATGACTACTCAAAACAATACTAGAGACAAATTTTTATAGCATTCCAACATTCTAATTTTATTGAATACCCATTACATTAGATCATAACTAATATAGGAACAATTATCAACTTCTTGATAACAAAAATGTACTCATCAGTTCTTCCCAATATACCATCTGACAGGCAACTTGGTAGAGAAAAGGACAAGGATTTTGGCATCTTAAAGACGTTCTGAATAACCTGGCTATGCCCCGTTGAACACTGAGCAAATAACCTGTCTGTTTCTTTGCTAAAACAGGAATGATAACAAACTTCTTCATGAAATTGGATTAAATGAAATAATTTACAACATACCCTAACACAGTACCTAGAAAAGAGTAAATTCTCAATAAATGTTAGTTTACTTCCCCCATCCACCAAGAACTATTTTTATAAAACTGTCCAAATTCAAAACTAAGAGGTGCTGTACCACTCACACAAATGTAATATTTGAAGGGATCAAAATTTTTCTTTCACTATATTCCTCTGAAAAAAAAACACTGAATTTTTTTAAAGTCAACTTTCCGAATACAATTGGTAAAAACAGGCAGAGCATATGGGAATTCACTGTACTATTCTAACACTGTGTGTGTGTGTGAACTTATATTAAAATTAAAAACTATCCAAAAAACTGACAGAAAAGTTGACTTTATTTCTGTGTGCACTCAAAATGTTACCAAACCTAACATTTGGTTACAATACTAATATTGCATCAAATTCATTTATACAAATAGTCATTTTTGATAACATAGCTCATACATAAATACACTCTCTAGGAAAGTAAACCATTATAAGGCTAATTCCCTTTGTCCCCACTGACAAAACCAATGTCGTTCATATTTTCAAATCTCTCACTGTGCATTTTCCCATATACACTAGAGAAAATAAAACACGTAGAATAACAACACATATCACCCTAACAACTGGCTTTTTCTTTTTTTTTTTACTCAACAGTACATCTTGAGGTTCTTTCATAGTATAGATACATCTCATTCTTTTTAGCTGTTATAGAATATGCATATGAACACACTATTTAGCCATTTCCTATGAATGGACACTTAAGTTGCCTCTAATTGTTTTGTTTTACCAACAAGGTAACATTAAACAGCTTTGTATATGCATCTTCTGCAAATACACAAGTGTTTCTGTAGGGCAGATACACAGAAGTAGAAATGACTAGAGTATATACATTTAAATTTTTAACAGATACTGCCAAAATGCTCTCTAATGCTGCTTTCCAATTTAAACTCACAGCAACAGTGAAGAAACTACTTGTTTCCCTAAACCCTTACCAAATACCAAAATTAACAAGCTTTTCTTTTTTCACAAACTGATTAATATTTTAAATTTGTATTTCTCTGATTAATTTCTGTTAAACCTTACCAGTATTTTCTTATGTTTACTAGACTTTTGAATCTTCTTTTCATAACCTTTGTTTTTTTTTTTTTAGTGGTCTTTTCTTTTTTAAAATTCGGATGAACTTTTTCAATATTCTGAATACTAACAGGTAGCAGCATGGCATGGTGGGTTACAAGTAACAGAGCCAGTCTGCCCAGTCTGAATGACAAGTCCATGCCTCCCTAGCTCTCTGATCTTGGCAAGTTAATTTAGTTTAGCTACTCCATGCCTCAGTTTCCTAATCTGTAAAAATGTGGATAATAACTGTACTTACAGAGTTACCATAAGGATAAAATTAGTTAACATTCTTTAAACACTTTAAAACAGTGCCTGGCACAGAATAAGTGTTATATAAGTGTTATCTTTTTGTCTGTAGGATTTGCTACAAATATCTTCTCCCAATCTATTGTTTGTCTTTTAACTCCTATTTATAAGTCTTCACTTACTTTTCCTCAAACAGTTCTTTTTCCACTTCTATTCTAATATCAGAAATTATATAAGTAGATGAAACCAACAAAAGGCTGCGCTCACTGGATCTTACAACCAACTTCTCCTCAAGAATAAACACAGACATCAGCCAAAGCATCTAAATTTAAAAAACATCTTTCCACTAAAAAAAGCTAACTTCCTCACTGCATAAAGCATTCCCACAAATCAGTAAGAAGACTGGTAATTCAGCAGAAAAAAAAGGCAAACCAAATAATCAATTTCACCAAAAAAATGGAAATAAAAATGGCTCTGAAAAATATGAAGAGATCCTCAACCTCATTTAGAAGTTGTGAGTTAAAACTAAAAATTAGGTATTCCTTTTCATCTTACAGACCGGTAAAGATCAAGAAGTTTTAAAATATTCACTGTGTGGGTATAAAGAAATGGACATTCAAACATTGCTGGTGAGAGCATAAATTGTTACGGTCTCTATGAAAAGCAATTTGGCACTGTCTTTCCAAAATAAAAATGCACATACCATCCAATTCATCAGTTTAACATCCAGAATTTATCCTACAGACACGTGTATTCATATTAAAAATGACATGCCTACAAGATTATTTACCGCAATAATGTGTATAATAGCAAAGATTGCAAACAAGCTAAATGCCCATCAACAGGGGACTGGCTAAATAAACTGTGGTACATCCAGATGATGAAATTTTATGCAGCTGTTTAAAAAATGAGGCAGCTCCCCTATTTATTTATTTATGAAAAATCTTCAAGCTATTACTGTTAAGCATAAAAAAGCAGGATACAAATAATGTGTGTATTTTGTTGTGATATGTATATTGGCGAGAGAGAAATATTAATACTCATACTTTTAAATGTAAATGCTTAAATAATCTCCATAAGGATACATAAGAAACCAGCAATGCTTGCTTCTGGAAAGGTAATGAATAGGAGACAAAAGAAGTAACAAAACTTTTTAACGTATACCTTTATGTATCTTTTGAATTTTGTACCAAATATTTGTATTATCTAATCAAATAAACAAATAAACCTTAAAAATTAATCAAATTAAAACCTCCCTGTGATCACACCAAATTTTTTTTTTAATTCAGTTGTTGTCAGTTTACAATGTTGTGTCAATTTCCAGTGTAGAGCACAATTTTTCAGTTATACATGAACATATATATATTCCTTGTCACATTTTCACTGTGAGCTACCTACCACAAGATCTTGTATATATTTCCTTGTGCTGTACATTATAATCTTGTTTATCTATTCTACATATGCCTGTCAATATCTACAAATTTCGAACTCCCAGTCTGTCCCTTTCCAACCTCTCCCCTCTGGCAACCACAAGTTTGTATTCTGTGTCTATGAGTCTATTTCTGTTTTATATTTATGTTCATTTCCTTCTTCCTTCCTTCCTTCCTTCATTCTTTCCTTCCTTTCTTCCTTCCTTCTCTCCTTCTTTCCTTCCTTCGTTCTTTCCTTCCTTTCAATTCCATCCATGCGCTATTTCATATGGTATTTTTCTTTCGTTTTCTGGCTTACTTCACTTAGAATGACATTCTCCAGGGATATCCATGTTGCTGCAAATGGCGTTATGTTGTTGGTTTTTATGGCTGAATAGTATTCCATTGTATAAATATACCACCTCTTCTTTATCCAGTCATCTGTCGATGGACATTTAGGCTGTTTCCATGTCTTGCCTATTGTAAATAGTGCTGCTATGAACACTGGGGTGCAGGTGTCTTTTTGAAGTAAGGTTCCTTCTGGATATATGTCCAGGAGTGGGATTCCTGGGTCATATGGTAAGTCTATTCCTAGTCTTTTGAGGAATCTCCATACTGTTTTCCACAGTGGCTGCACCAAACTGCATTCCCACCAGCAGTGTAGGAGGGTTCCCTTTTCTCCACAGCCTCTCCAGCATTTGTCATTTGTGGACTTTTGAATGATGACCATTCTGACTGGTGTAAGGTGATAACTAATTGTAGTTTTGATTTGCATTTCTCTGACAATTAGTGATATTGAGCATTTTTTCATGTGCCTATTGATCATTTGTTATTTCTTCCTTGGAGAATTGTTTGTTTAGGTCTTCTGCCCAATTTTGGATTGGGTTATTTGTTTTTTTCTTATTAAGTCGTATGAGCTGCTGATATATTCTGGAGATCAAGTCTTTGTCAGTTTCATCCTTTGCAAAAATTTTCTCCCATTCCGTAGGTTGTCATTTTGTTCTGCTTATGGTTTCCTTTGCTGTGCAGAAGCTTGTAAATTTAATTAGGCTCCATTTGTTTATTCTTGCTTTTATTTCTATTGCTTGGGTAGACTGCCCTAGGAGGACATTTTTGAGATGCATGTCAGATAATGTTTTGACTATATTTCCTTCTAGGAGGTTTATTGTATCTTGTCTTATGTTTAAGTCTTTGATCCATTTTGAGTTTATTTTTGTGTATGGTGTAAGGGAATGTTCTAGCTTCACTGATTTAAGTGCTGCTGTTCAGTTTTCCCAACACCATTTGCTAAAGAGACTATCTTTATTCCATTTTATGTTTTTGCCTCCTTTGTCAAAGATTAGTTGACCAAAAGTTTGTGGGTTTCTTTCTGGGCTCTCTATTCTGTTAGATTGGTCCATATGTCTGTTTTTGTACCAATACCACGCTGTTTTGATTACTGTAGCTCTACAGTATTGTCTGAAGAGGGTTATTCCTCCAGCCTCTTTCTTTTTCTTCAGTAATGCTTTGGCAATTCTAGGTCTTTTGTGATTCCATATAAATTTTATTATGATTTGTTCTAGTTCTGTGAAATATGTCCTGGGTAATTTGATAGGGATTGCATTAGATCTGTAGATTGCCTTGGGCAGTATGACCATTTTAACAATATTGATTTCTCCAATCCAGAAGCATGGGATATCTTTCCAGTTTTTTATGTCTTCTTTAATTTCCCTAATCACTGTTTTATAGTTTTCCATGTATAATTCTTTCACCTCCTTGGTTAGATTTATTGCTAAGTATTTCATTACTTTGGGTGCTATTTGAAAGGGGATTATTTCTTTACTTTCTTTTCCTGTTGATTCATCGCTAGTATAAAGAAATGCAACTTATTTTTGAATGTTAATCTTGTAACCTGCTACCCTGCTGAATTCTTCAATCAGTTCTAGTAGTTTTTGTGTGGACCTTTTAGGGTTTTCCAAATATAGTGACACTTTTACCTCTTCTTTTTCAATTTGGATCCCTTTTATTTCTCTCTCTTGCCTGATTGCTGTGGTTAGGACTTCCAAAATTATGTTGAATAGGAGTGGTGACAGTGGGCAGCCTTGTCTTGTCCCAGATTTTAGTGGGAAGCTTTTGAGTTTTTCACCGTTGAGTACTATGCTGGCTGTAGGTTTGTCATTTATAGCTTTTATTATGTTATGTTCCCTCTATACCCACTGTGGTGAGAGTTTTTATCATAAATGGGTGTTGAATTTTATCAAATGCTTTTTCTGCAGCTATTAAGATGATCATGTGGTTTTTGTCCTTTCTCTTGTCAATGGGATGTATTACCTTGATTGATTTGTGTATGTTGAACCACCCTTATGTCACACCAAACTTTCTATTGGTACTCTTTAAATGGTCATGCACAGCAGGTTGCTACTATTCAGCTAGTTGGGGGCTAGTCTGTTCAATGCACAAAAGCAGAGGTTCTCTACCCTAGCTGCCCATTTTCAACCCCTGTGGGATGTTTTAAACCTACAGATGTCCAAGTACCACCCCAGATACTGATTTAGTAGGTCTGGAGTAGGGCCTGGGCATCAGAATTTTTTAAGTTCACAGGTGACACTGATGGGCAGTCAGATCTGAAAACAGCTGAGTTAGAGCATAAGACAAACAGGTAAATACCCAGGCTCAATCTCCACTGAGCTTACAACCGTAGTTTCATCACGAATCCTAATCACGTCACAAAGTTCTTCAAAAGGAACAGATGAGTGTGTAGATGGCACAATATTACCACTTCTGGATATACCACTAGATAAGCAGTATAATCTTCATATATTAAACACAGTACATTTGTATGAATTCATTCTATGTAGCATTTTAGCAAAAACTCTGCTAGTGTACTAGTGCCCAATAGGCCATTAATTGTGTGACACTGGAGTTTCTGAGCCTCAACTTCATCATTTGTAAAATGATGGGACTGAACAAGATATGTTCTCCATCTTCCAGCTCTAAACATCTATAAATCTCTAAGAATACAGGTGCCTAAACGCAACAATCGCTTTAGGACAAACTAGGAAGAACCTTTTTCATCTCATTCACTGCTTAGGCCAAATTCACATTCCAGGAGGCTAGTGCCCTAACAGACACTCAGACATCTATTGCGTATTGCTGAAGAAATTAATGGTCACAGGAAAAAAATGTTGTTAGGATTCAAACAATCTTATATAATACATCTTAGATTTACACAAAATAAGCATACTACATTTGAGCTTTGAAAGAAAAGCATCTGATACAGTGTCTTTAAAAAAATGGTTCAAGTTAAAAGGTAATAGTCAAAGACTCTGTGCTGGAAGGGATGTTAAAGTCCACATCCAAACCTCTCATTTTACAAGTAAGAAAACAGAAGCTCAGCAAAGTTAAAGAATTTGCCCAAAGTCATTTTGTCATTAAGAATATTCTTAGAACCAAGCTCATAGTAACAGATTTGTCAATTATTGTTCACTGATGTTTGCATGTGTACTGGTATAACCTTATAAGGTATATTATTTTAGCTAGGGATTTTTGATGACAATAATGACATATAAAACTAAAGATACAGAAATTTCTTAATATACATAAAGTCTCTTAATTTACATTAATTGATTGCAACAAAGCTGTCAGCTGCTCTCAAAAGTGCATAGAACTTCATTAGTTGATAAAACATATAATCTGATATTATTGTCAAATAATTTCATAAAGCACATTAACAAGAAATAGGATTAGCATCTACGATTAAAGGATAAAACGATAGTTTTATTTCAGCTACATTAGTTCCACAGTCTCTTAGAGTCTATTCAGAGTTCTAAGTTACAAAAAAAATCTATGAACTCATTGAGGTTTACCTCCTGCCTTCCTCAGACCAAATGATTAGCAGAGTGCTCTGTGAACTTTTACAAAGAACCCCTTTCTCTCATTTATATCCCTCTGAAAGATGGATTCTTCCTCCATCCTAAATAACTCATCATCTCATTTTAAATTTCTGACAATAATGAGTTCTTAGCATGAACAAAACCTTTTTTAATCTCTCCCTCTTTCTATTAATTTATTAAATAACTTATCTCATTTCAAATATCTGATATAATAATGAGTTCTTAGCATGAATAAACTCTTCTTAATCTCTCCCTCTCAATTCTACTGCATGGTCAATAAAATGTTTTGATTTATACTTTATTACCAAAAAATGCAAACCTGCCATGGCAAATAAAAACATTTAATGTGTACACAGTGTGATTATGAGATTTTTCTTTTACAGGCTCAGGACCAATTAGTAACAATATTCATGGAATATAGTCAGGTAACAATATTCAAATCCCCTAATAATAAGCAATCCGGGCATTTAGAAAAATTTAATCCTTTTCCTAATGAGGCAACTTTGGCATCACTTCAAACCTAAGCTCAGTTGGCACTGTGATTTTGAAAGGGATGAACTTCCTGCCACAGACCCATGTCATTTTCTTTTAATAATATTATCACCTTCTAGTTTGTTTGGCTGTAAAATTTACAAAGCACTTTCATATCTAGTATATATCTCAAATTCTCCTCAGGATAACATAGTGAGAGGTAAAGCATTTTCTAAAGGCCTATTCTGTTCTAGGCACTGTGCTGACACCTGGAGAGTTAAAAAAAAAAAACTAAAAGAAGAATAAATTCTATTCTGGAAGAATTCACAGTCTAATGGGGGAAATAAATGATTTCTATAAAATGTGCTGTAATAAGGAAATGAACAATGAGTTGTGATCGCCAAACAGTACGCCAAACAGGCCTAACACATTCTCTCCAGGAATCAGGGTGGCAGTGCCCCAAAGAAGGCTTTGGTCAGGAGATTACACGGCACAGGCTTTTGAAGGATGAGTAGGAGTTTCCTGACATAAATATGGGGTGGAGGGAATGACATGTACAAAATGGATAGTGATGAGGATGAGGAATTATTCTCATTTTATAGAGGAGGAAGATAAGTTCAAAAGTAAGTGAGCTGCTTAAAGTCACATGAATAATAATTAACAATGTATGAAACAGAATTCAGGTCTGATTTTAGTCAGCTTCATACACCAGGAAATGCCAGTGCATGTTGGGCATGAACATTAGATAAACATCAGTTTTTATCTCCTACTTTACTCCTTCCTAAGAGGTGGTCCATGTCTGATTCAGCTCCTGCGGGGAGAAAGAGAGATGATCAAAGTAGGGGATTTACTGAATCCTCAGATCAATCCTGTGAGATAGAGGTGTTTTTTACTATTCGTTCTTTACATGTGAGAATACAGAGACACAATGGGGTTAACAAAAGTTGGAAATTAAGTGAAGAAGCAAACCCAGATGACTACCCTGACCAAACCTCTAAACTCAAGCACTTAACCATACCCACAGATTCTACTTCTCCAAACAGCCCTGGATCACTCTTCATCTAAAAATATCACGGAGACTAAGTGAGTTCTGGGACACATCATGGGCCCACAGATCTCGTACTGTACCACACATCTCAATATTCATACAAATTTTCGTTGGCTCCCTTAACAATCTGGTCTCCCTTGAGCAGATAAACCCACACATAAGGTAGCGTGAGCTCTCTGAGCAACATTTTTACAACCTAGACAAGAGCAAATTTAACAAAAAGCAGTGACCGAAAAGGACAGCACAAAATAGCAGCATGAAGCCTGAAAGTATAAAGGAGAAGCCCCGGTCCCCGTCTTTCACTTGTGAAAGGTTTTCTTAGGAGGATGGGGCCAGTGTCAAAGTGCTTCAGAAGGACTAGCATACCTGCCACTCACTGCACTGAGTTCAAGCCAAAGGATGGAGTCTGGAGTACAAATGTAATTTCCTTTATCAAAGGTTCATATGACAACTCTAGGAGATCCAAAAACCAAATCTGTCTCTTGAATATTAATATCTGGAGCTGTCATGATTTCCTACAGCACTAATATGACCTCAGGGAATTGGGGATCGGCATATAAGCTAAAATACTGCAGTAACACTGGATTTGTTAATGTCAGCTGATTGTTTGAAAGTGACCACAAAATGGTTTTCGATCTGTCATCTCACCTGGTGAAGTATATGGGAAGTATATGGGAAAATCAGACGGGATATATGGGAAAATTAACAAATACTGGAATCAAATGCCTAAAGAAATTTGTGGAGATCTACTCCAGAACTTTGGAGACATATAAATCAATCCCTCCTCATTTTCTGCTGCTATGATTTGGAGGTGAGGGGTCTGCCCACATCCAGGAACGTTTCCTTTCAGGCTCACTTTCAGCTTTGTGGATCTCTAACCATCCAAGTCAGAGGCTCTCAACCAGCAGTCTGGAATCTGCCAGCACATCTCCAGGCTAGTGGGCACTACCAGGCCTTCCTCCCAAGTCTCCCAGCATGGTGAAAAGGAAAGCTGACAGGGTTACCCCCATCCCCAAGCTGCGTAACATCTGCATTGTCAGAAGTACTATCATCCCATTTCTGTGACTGTAGCACCTGCTAATAATGACTCTTCCAGCCCCCGAGCCCTCAACCTGCAAAACCCACATGTCAGTTTCAGGGAAACAGAAAATAGCATTTCTTCTCAGGGTTCTGAAGCTCAGTCAACCAACTCTAGATTACACCAGCTTAAAAAGAGGACAAAAAAAAGGAGAGGGAGGTGGGGAGAAACTTCACCTACAAGCATCCTAATACACTTTTTCTATGAAATAGGCACTCCATGACCTGAGCTGTAAGCCAAGCAATTCAAAAAGCAAGAAACTGAGATAACAGACATAATACCTCAACTACAGTTAAAGAGGTAATATCATTCCCAGCAAGTGGATGTTCAGTTTCCCAAATCTGGGTAGTGGGGTTGCTCTAAACCGTAGAAACAAAGCTGTGTTTTGTTGTTGTTGTTGTTGTTTTTAAATCTGTAGGCCCAAGTTTCACTCACAGTGACATCACTTACAGTGCTATCTTCGCCATGGAGCAGGTGAAAGTGCAGGGCAGCTAAGTCCTTTTGAAAACAGCCCAGCCCTAACTCAATTCCAAGACATGTGTACATGCAGTTCCACGGCATAACCTGCAGCTAAGTCAATCAGCGAGGCTCGACACTGCCTAGCATCAAGTGACACTAAAATGTAAAGCAGTAAAAATTTGGAAAATGAGATCAAGGAGGTGCTCTGGCCCATTCATTTATAGTTTTCCCATGTTTAAAACAGATGTATGCAAATATTAAGCATAAGACTTAATTTGAATATGGAAAAACTTTTATACCCTAGAAGGTAACTTCAACAATAGGAACTTATAGACAAGGTCTTCTTCTCTGGTGTCATTTTCCCAGGTTTTAAGAACTCTACTCTCTTAAGAGCCCAGGACAGACTACTTTTGGGAATAAAAAGGTGAGAGAATTTAACATGTCTGCTTCTGAGGTTTAGTAAAATCCCAAATACTTGAAAGTAGGAGCAACTTGAAAAGAGGAAAAGTGGGAAAACCCAAGCTCAATTAATAACATCACTTCTCAGGAAGAGGAAAATTTTACATCCTGCGCAAGAAAGAGCATTGTTAACCATTTTAATGCAACTCGGTTTTCTTCATACAAAGTGAAAAGTACTCCTCATGACTAAGGGTTATTTACATGAAACATAAAGCATGTTTCCAATTTGAGGATACTGAATCAAGAAAGCAAAGCTAATTTTAAATAAAAGCAAAAATAAATTATGTTGATACAGCTTACAAGGAGCGCGCGGGGGGGGGGCGTTTCTGTGAAAAAATCGGAAGCCAAATAAATGTCCAAATGACTGAACTCAAATGGTCTGTCCATAGCAATGTGCAGAATCTCTGAGAAAAAAATTGAAGGCAACTAGACTGGCTCACTCACAACAGTAACAATTAAACGCATGAGAAAGAAAGGAATTAAGTGGGTTAAGTGCGGGCTGGATGACGGTGTTTCGAGACCTGCTCACAGGAAGCCACTACATCCTGCCTGAAGTCCCTGTCAGTCACGCTGTCTCTCGATTCAAGTCCCCGCCGCAGCGAGATGGGGCGAGTACAGGTGTCCGGCCCGAGCCCCTCCCGGCGCACTCAC